AAAAAATGGCCAGGCATTGTGGCAGGTGCCTGTAGTCCCAGCTACTTGGGAGGCTGAGGCAGGAGACTCGCTTGAGCCCAGGAGTTGGAGGTTGCTGTGAGCGTGATGCCATGGCACTCTACCCAGGGGGATAGCTTGAGGCTCCATCTCAAAAAAAAAAAAAAAGAGTACAGATAAGCAGACCCCAATCTCTTAGAGGTTGTCAGGGAAGGCTTATTAGAGAAGGATAGAGAGCAGAAGGTAGAGGTTAGGTTGGGCCAAAATGGTAATTTGTATGGAAAACAGAGACATTCAACTAGTTAGTATAAAGGGGTGGGTTGTGTTTAGGAATGATAGGAGACAAGGCTGGAGGAGCAGGCAAGAATCATATCACAGATCATACCATTCACACTGTAAATAAAGTACATTAAAAATCTGCCTGCTGTCTAATATGACTAACACTGCTATGGTATTCCCATTTCATTATAAGAAGCAACAGTTTGCAAAATCAGCTGGCTAAGTGATATGCAGGTCACCTCAGGGTAACAGTGACTCTGGAGGTAAGAAAGACATTACATGAGGCAGGATTTTCCAGAGAAGCAGAAGAACAAAATAATGGTAGATGATAGATAGATAGATAGATAAAAATTAAAGTCATCAGATTCTGAGAAGTACCACAATTGGCCACCTGCCAAGTAGAGACCCTGTAAATCTTCTGGTGTGATTTAGTCTGAGTCCAAAAAGCTGAGAAGGAACAGCACCAATGTTGGAAGACAAGAGAAAAGAGATGTCCCAACTCAAGGAAAGCGATTGCATTTACCTTTCCTCCATCTTTTGTTTGAGTTGGGCCCTCAAAGAACTGGACAATGCTCACTCAGGTTGGTGGGATTTTCTTTACTCATAATGTTTTATATGAAATAACGTTTTACCAGAAATTTGGTCATATCTTAATTCAGCTAAGTAGACATCTAAAGTAAACCATCAGAGCCATCAATGTTCCCACTTTTACTAAATGAGAATTTTAATTTGTTTGGTCATCCCGAGTTCTGGTTAGCAATGCATAATAAAATTCATAAGCTACAGATACTGTTGCATCAATGAATGATAAAATTCATAAGATACAGGTACTGGTACATCCAAGTGTACAAGAATGCTATCTTGTATCAAGCTGTTAGTCCCTTTCCTCCTGGATGACAGTCTAGAAACTGAACAAGAATAGAATAATCTTATTGATAAATACATTAAAATAAAGTTTTATAATAAACCTATTCAACTGTGGAAGAAAAACTAGAAAATTAATTATGTGCGTTGCCAGAGTCTTCAAGAAGTCAAAAAACAAACGCATGTATATGTATGTGCTTTTAATCTCCTTTTCTAAATTTCTATTTTACACATTTAAAAATAGACTTTCTTGAGATTATAGTAAATTGTGGTTTAGCTTGGAGTACTTATGTATGAGCACATATTTTTCTAAAATAAAAAGGTTTCAGATGAAAAATGTAGTTATAAGCTTTGCAAAATATTTACTAAATATAAAAATACGAAGGTGAAATCACATTTAATCCAAATTATTAAATGTAAACTCTATTGGAGATTATTTCATCTTTTTATACACATAGTGCATATGTAAACATATATTTATATGTTTATAGGTTTATATTTAGAAACCTATTTTTGATTTAGTGATAAATCACTGGCATCTATTAGTTGCATTAACTAGTATGCCTCATGCTTTTTATAAACCATAATTAAAATACTTTAAGTATTCAAAGTGCTTTGGTGGAAACTAAGGATATATTTACCATAATTTTTTAAATTATAAAGTTATTAGAAGAGGTATCTTTTCATGTGTATATGTTTCTTCTTTACTTATTTTTATCATAGAATAAATTCCTAGAAGTAGAATTTGCATGTTAAAGGCATGTATACTCCAAAGTTTGGGGAATAAATATGAACATTATTACTTTCTAGAACTTATCTTTTAAGCAGCAATGGTACCACACTCTTATCAGTGTTATATTAACATTCTTCAGTTCTTGTCAATTTGATAGGCAACAGACATATCACATATATATGTATGCGTACCATCTTTTATTAACAGTAGGGCTGAATACCTCTTATTCTTACTAATACTTTGCTTTTAAATTTTAACTGTATCTTATGTTTCTTTTCTACAATTTCTCAATGTTCCTTACATTGAGAGGCTAGATTTTGTTATTTTATTGGTGATTTGTTGAAATCTATTAATGCAAGTGATATTGAACAACACCATGGGCCAGTCTTCTAGGCATTGAAAGTATAGCAGTAAGGAGAAAAGACAAAACACCAAAACACTGCCACCACCAACAAATAAACACACACACACACACGTATTTATTGCATATACAGATATAGAGTCTGGTTTTTACCAATGAACATCAAACATATGCAAAATATTTTCCCCAGTCATTCTAGTGGTATATTATAAACCATTTCTAAAAGTTCCCAAATACTCACAGGGTACATTTGAAGAGAACGTGGATAACCAGGCCAAGTTTACCTTCATTCAGTCCTAGGTATGCTTTTATCATCACTAAATTAAGGGTGAAGATTGTGCTCTAAAGAAGTGGGGCCAGCACCAGTAATATCAGGACAGGAATCATAAAGGTGAAGGAGTTTGTTGTCTTTGTCATGCATGTTCTGTTTTAATCTAACTGAACCATCGAGAGGTACAGAACAGTTCCTATCAGTAAAAATAGGAACTTGTTTGCTAGCATCCAATAAAAAAGAAAGATAAAAGAATACTCTAATTAGTTGGAGACTCAAAAAATAGTGAGACCTGTGTAGACAAGAATTGTAGCCAACCTTAGCCTATGTATCATTTCCAAGTGGACACAATAAATGGTTTGCTTTTGTAATAACTAACCAAAGTTCCTATCAAGGCGCTCTTCAGAGCTTCACCACAAATTTACTTTGAATTTTTATGCTCATAACCCTTCAATATTTACTCTTCCCATCCATATTTTTATTTTGATTGCCTCTGCCCTTCCTCTTTCAAACTAGACCTAAAATGAAAGTGGCAGAATATTGTATCAAAATCCATTTAGATTATTTTTGAATGGAGTGCAGATAAGTCTCCGAATTTTGGAGTACTTAGTCTAGTCCATTATGTATTTCGATGTTTCTTCAGGAAGCAGTTCCTGGGCTGTGACAGATGCTTCTCATTACTGTAATTTGCAAATGAGTTTGAACATCTAGAGGTACAGAATAGTTGATAACTCTTGATAAACATGAAGAATTTCAAATAAACTGCTTGTTCTGTCTTCAAGACTGACACTTGGTGGCTTTTCAGCCCTAGCGTCTGAAGAGTGATGTGCTACATCAGTCTAAGACAGTATCGTTTTATGAGAAAAATCTTTGAAAATTAATTTCATAGCTGAGTTGACCTTGCATTACTGTATAGATTTTTATCATTATTTATTCACAAAACAATGGGAAATACTTTTTTAATGATTGCTTGACAAGTGAAACAAAAAAATAATAATTCTTCTTTAGAATTATTAATGTTTGTTATTTCTGTTCAAATAGAGTAAATGGATGTACCCTCTCTTGTGCCTAATTCAATCCATCCTTTTTGATTGAGTCATTTACATATATTGACTAACTTGAAAGTAAATTTTGTCCTTATGTAATATTTCAGGGATCTTCAGGTGCTTAGCACATACTATTAATAAATCCTTTAAAGGTCGCTAATCTGTTTTTCTAAGAGAAAATTTATTATATGGTCATTAAAGATCACTAATCTTAAGAATGAAGATGATATCAGCAAGATGGCCAACTAAAGGTGACTATACTTATCTCTCCCACAAAAGAGCAAATTAACAAATACACAAGTACATATGTGACTAGAGTATCTGAAGGAAAGCCCTCTCAGTACAGTAAGGGAGTGGTACAGACCTTGTGGAACACAGACACTCAGGATGACCACAGAGAATAAAACGTCACTCTCTCTGCCTGAGCCTAGAATTAGGAGGGACACTCCATTGTGGGGAAAGAGTAAGCAGGAACTCCCCTAGGAATACCCATTAGTACTGTAGAAACCTGCAGTTTGCTGCTGGAGAATCCTGTGGTCTGCACAGGCCCCAAATCCAGTTTTGAGAACTACTAGTTCACACAGCTGTATTGCTCTAGAGAAGGAACTCACATTGTTCTCCTCCTCCCCTTGACGCAGTCTACAGTTGCTTCATGGTGCCGTCCTGTAATCAGAGCCTCTGATGGGATGTGCTCTAGTCTGGGGGCCTGGACACACTGCATCTCCTGATCACTGAGGACCCATCACTATTGCACCTTGCTCATATATAGTAGTGTACTACTCCCCAGCTGAACTGCTTTAGCTCCCTAACGTTGGGAACAGGCCGCTTAGGAGACACTCCATTTACCCAATCTTAGTGGCTACAGTACCCTGATTTTGACTAGGTGTAGTGAAACAGCCAAGACCCTGGTACCTGAATCTCCATGGCAGCTTGCCTCCCAAGGACGAGGTAGTTGTGCACAATGGGAAAGTTGAGTCCAGTGTGACCTCAGCTTGCAAAATAGCAGCATCTTCTTATTCCTAGGGAGATCTGCCTAACCAGTGGACTAACCGCACAAACTCAATCAGCCTAGGCTACTGTGACAGTTGTATAAGATACAGAGTGGTTAAATGGATGAAGAAACACAAAGTAAGCTACATGCTGTCTGCAAGAAACTCACCTTACCTGTAAGGAAACATGTAAACTGAAAGTGAAGGGAAGGAAAATGATATTCCTTGCAAATGGTAATCAAAGGAAAGCAGGAGTAGCTATGCTCGTACCAAATAAAGTAGACGTTAAATTAAAATGATAGAGACAAAGAAAGTCATTATATGATGATAAAAGGCTAATTCAGGCAGAGAATAATATAATTATGTATGCACCCAACACAAGAGCACCCAGTCCCAAATATATAAAGTACATTTTAGAGTTAGAGGGATAGATTACAATATAATAACTGTAGGGGACTTTGCACTCTCCTTTTAGCAATGGACAGGTAATTCAAACAGAAAATCAAAATGGCCAACACCATAGAAAGATAATTCTTTAGCCTCCTGCTTGAAACCAACAGCTTCAGCAAACTGCTGGCCTTGATTCTGGGCCAACAGAAAATCATATCTAAGGGAAAAGTTTGTAGTAACAAACCCCTACCTTTAAAAACTACAAAGATCTCATTAAACAACTTAACACTACACTTCAAGGAACTAGAATAAAAAGAAATAAAAAATAACATGCAGAATTAAAAGGAGAAAACACATAATAAAGATAAGAGCAGAAATAAACAGAAGTAGAGACTGAAACCCAGCACAACAGATCAACAAAATAAAGAGTTTGTTTTTTTGAAAAGATAGACAAAACTGACAAACCTTTGGATAGATTTAAAAAAGACTCAAAGTAGAGATGAAAAAGGAGACATCACAACCAAAACTGTAGAACCACTGGACTATTAGGAACAACTATACACCAAAAAAATATATAAAATGTAGAAGAAATGAAAAATTCCAGGACAAATTCTACCTTTCAAAATTGAATGATGAAGAAATAGCAAATCTAAATGGAAGAACAATGAGTAACAAGATTGACTCAGGAATAAAAATTCTCCCATCAAAGAAAAGTTCCCCGAGTATGCTTCTAAACTCATTTTATGAGGCCGACATTACTCAGACACTACCAGCCAGAGACATGAAAAGAAAAATATACAGGCCAATATTACTGATAAACATAAATGCAAAAATGCTCAACAAAATACAAGCAAGTCACATAAACAACTGAAAATATATTTAATGGGCACATTAGTTCAGTCTTTCCTTGTTACCTCGTGCTTTCAGAAGCCAGGAGCCTGAGGAGCCATACTGGCCTGTGAGCTATCTCTGGGGAAGGACTCCAGCAAAATTATCACATCAGAAGATGTCCTTCTCAACTGTATACCTTTAAGATCCCACTAGTATTTTCAAAGGAAAAATATGACTCTTCTGCTCATACTGCATAGAATTAAAGCAGTAAAGACAATAATAAAGTGAGAGTAAGTAAATTTTGGCATGGCTACAGGTAATTTAATTATTTCTAAACATTCATTTATTCACCTATTTATTTACTGCTTGAGCTGTAGACCCAGGTGATGCTCAGTTCTAAGACTTCAAAGAAACACCATACAATGTATTATCCTCTGAGACTGGAGGTACTAAACTTTTTTTTTTTTCTCTTTAATTTCAGATTGATGTAAGGGCACAAATGTTGAGGTTATATTGCTTTCATTTCTAAGATAAAGTTTAAGTTGTAGTTGAGCCCTGCACCAAATATACATACTGAACACCCTCACTTTGTGCACATTTAGTGAGATCTCACGAGCACCTCCCCCCCCCGCCTCCCCTCTCTCCCTGGCTAGACTATACCTGTGTTTTTTTTTTCCTGTGGGTTTGTAGCTGTTTATAGGTTTCATAATAGTATTGAGGACATTGGATACTTTTTCCCCCTTTCTTCTAATACATTATAAAGAAAAATGTGTTTCAACTCCATCCTGGTAAACACAAATGATGTAAAGTTTCCATCTTTTCTTATGGCTGGCTAGCACTCCACGGTATACATATACCACAGCTGGTTAATCCATTCGTGAGTGATGCACACGTGGGTGAATTTCACGTCTTGATAACTGTGATTTTTAACTGCAATAACATTCTACTGCTGATGTCCTTGTGGTAATATGTTTTTTTCTTTTTTTCTTCTGGGTAGATACCTAGTAATGGGATTGTTGGATCAAATGGAAGGTCCACTTTTAGTTCTTTGAGAATTCTCCATTCTTCTTTCCAGGGGGTTGTATAAGTTTGCAATCCCATCAGCAGTGCAAAAGTGTTCCATTCTCCCCACATGCACACTAGCATCTGCAGATTATGAATTTTGTGATGTGGACTAATCTCCCTGGAGTTAGGTGATATCTCACAGTGGTTTTGATTTGCATTTGTCTGATAATTAAAGACGATGAACATTTTTTATGTGTTTGTGGGTTATTCCTCTGTCATCTTCAGAGGACTGTCTGTTCAAGTCTCTTCCCCACTTATAAATGTTTTTTTTTTTCTTTTCTTGTTGGTTAATTTGAGTTCTCTGTAGAGTCTAGCTATCAGCTCTTTTTCAAATTCATAGCATACAAATATCTTCTCCCATTCTGAAGGCTATCTGTCTGCTTTAGTTGTGGTCTCTTTCACTGTGAAGAAAGTTTTCAGTTTGATCACATCTCATTGATTTATCTTTGGTGTTGCTGCAATTGCCAAGGGGGTCTTTTTTCATAAAACCTTTCCCAGGCCAATATTGTGAAGAGTTTTCCCCACACGTCCTTCCAGAATTTTTATTGTTTCATGTATTAAATTTAAATCTTTTATCCAGTGAGAGTCCATTTTTGTCAGTGGTGAGAGGTGTAGGTTCAATTTCAGTCTTCCGTACCTGATTACGCAGTTCTCCTAGCACCGTTTAAGTAGGGATTCTTTCTCCTGGATGTGCTTTTCTTTTGTTTATCAAGATCAGATGGCCATATGTGCTGGGTTCATCTCTAGGTTCTCTTCTTTGTTGCATAGATCTATCTCTCTATTTTTATACCAGTACCATACTGTTTTGATCACTATGGACTTGCAGTATAACCTGAAGTCTGGTAATGTGATGTCTCCAGATTTGTTTTTATTTCTTAAAATTGTATTGGGTACTCAGGTTTTATTTTTTTTCTGTTTCCATATGAAGCAAAGTACTATATTTTTGAGTTCTTCAAAACATGACAAGAGTGCTTTGATTGGTATTGAATTAAATCTATAGATTGCTTAGGGTAGTTTGGACATTTTAACAATGTTGATTCTTCCCAGCCACAAGTGGCATGTTCTTCCATTTGTTAATGTCTCATACTGTTTCTTTTCTCATGTTTTTGAAGCATAGTTCTTATCATAGAGATCCTTTACATCCTATCTTAGATATATTCCCAGGTATTTCATTTTCTCTGGAGCTCCTATGAAGGATATTATTGAAACTCTAATTCTTAGATGAGAAATAGAGGAATGCTATCTAAAATAAAAGTTGATATTTGCTGCAAGGTTTAAAGCAGTGAAACTCTGTAAAATTTCACGATTCTGGCCTTTAACTCTGATGATCTTGGACAAGTTGCTTAACATCTCTTAAAAAGATTTCCATTTTTTTTAATACTTCTTTAAATTAAATGATAGCTGTGTACATTAATGTAATCATGGGGTACAGTGGATGTTTTCATATACAATTTGAGATATCTTCATGAAACTGGTTAACATAGCCTTCATGTCATTTTCTTAGTTATTGTGCTACGACATTTATATTCTACTTTAAGAAAGATTCAATTGTACCCTTGAAAGATAATCCACAGAGGTGATCCCTCCAGTCACCCTCCCTCCAACCATCCACTCCCTCCCATACCCTCTCCCTCCCCCCTCCCCATATTCTTAGGCTATAATTAGGTTATAGCTTTCATATGAAAGCTATAAGTTAGTTTCATAATAGGAGTGTGTACATTGGATACTTTTTCTTCCATTCTTGTGATACTTTGCTAAGGAGAACATTTTCCAGCTACATCCATGTAAACATGAAGCACATAAAGCTTCCATCTTTCTTTATGGCTGCATAGTATTCCATGGTGTACATATACCACAGTTTATTGATCCATTTGTGGATAGATGGGCACTTGGGCTTCTTCCACAACCTGGCAATTATGAGTTGGGCTGCAATAAACATTCTGACACAAATATTTTTGTTATATCCAGAAGCTTTCCATCTTTGAATGAATTAGAATAACAAGGTGATCAATGTCATCTTGTGGCTGTAGGAATTAAACGAAATTACATGTGTAGTGCAATTAAGCTAGCATTACATGTTCAGTAAATGCTTTCCATTTTCATTACTGTTATTATTTCAGAAATGTATAAAATTATGTGGACCATATATTTTAATCTCTTTGAGAAATGAATAAATGGAAACACGTGCAAGGAGTCCACACATCGGGTCTTTTCACCTGTCTTAACCTTTTTTGTTTGGTTTCCTTTGAATTTAAGCTTACATACAAGACAATTCAATGGGTAGTTTGAATCATCTCCTTTCGTCAGAAATTTATAAGGTAGATGTTACCAGGACCTTATATGTTAATTTTAAAAAACTTGACTGTGATAATAAACTGGACTACTCCCAGTCATTCCATCTTTATAATAATAATTAAAGATGTTTATCACCATGAAAACTCATTTATTGAGAATTACCAATTGTACATTCTTTAATGAGAATTGTGATTGATACATTAACATTTTTATATAAGACTACAGAAGAACAGAACACAATTCCTGTTATCAGATTTGAATTCCTTTCTAATCAGATATAATGTTTAACCCGCTGTTACAATCTAAAATGCCTTCGATATATTCCACAAATTTCAGAGGCAAGATGTGTCCCTCTGGTTTCAGTGCCCAGCCTTTGCTTCTACACATAGGCTGCAAGGATAGACCCTTCATTAATTACTCATGGGTAACTTTGTGTCTCTCCAATGTTTGCAAAATCCTGATGATATAGAAGATAATTAAAATGGCTCTAACTTGTCTCTGCCTTTTTTCATAACAAAAAAGTTTTAGCAATTCTAGACTATCATTGGAATTATTATATGAAGATATGGGGAGCAAATCAGATCTATTTACATCTTTGGGAAGCTTTATTCTCTCCTTAGATTTGTGTGTGTGAGAGAGATAAGGTCAAACCCTAATGCACAAATATGAATGCCACTATGATCCCTAAACAACACCATCTAGCATCTTTTGTACCATGTGATTCCAGAGGGCTTTGAAACTTTATCATGTTGTGGAACTTTGCATTTATATCACACCAGTATGCAATTGTTGCATAGCCTTGACATTTCTTTCTTTTGCATGTTTATCATAAATCCTAAACTAGGTCATCCACCCATAAAATCCAGTCATAATTTTAAGATGTCCACTTCTGAAACAGTAAATATTTTCTCACGTTGTTTCTGAAAGAGCTTGGGAATTGGAGAACATCCCTGAAGTCTCATTATGAAGATTCAGGTAAAAATGACACTCTTCTAGCAGGTTGTTTTCAAAAT